TCCTTTCAATTGTATCAAACTTATATTGCTATTGCCAGGTTAAAGCTGCCGATAATCGAATAATTCAGGACCAGCTAACTCAAAAGGTAGACTGCCTCTTTCAGCTGTTTCCTCATTTAATTTTGATTGCTCCAAGGAAACTCTGTTCCAATGAGATTTCTTATTTTGACAGACCCATGAATGCCAGAATCTACAAGAAACAATTGTGTCCTTAAAGCAACAGCTTTCTGATGCGCTAGAGCAGAGAAATCGCAGTCCATCAGTAGCCCATTCACAACGCCTATCTGAGACAAAAAGTTTACTTGTGGAGCTAAGAGCTGAAAAGGAGAGTACTGCCTTAAAGGATGCAAAAGAAGCATTACTCTTACAGGCCCAGGTTCCTATCTATTTTTCTCAGTCGAGTAGAAACCCTTGCATATCACCTACTATGTTATTGGCCACTCCACTCTTATACCTTGTGTGTGTGTGTGTGTATATATATATATATATATTTGTTGCAACAGACGAAAGAAAATGATATACTAAAATAGTAAAATGAAACAGAAAGAGTCTTACTAGAGGGATAAAATAAGCCCCAAGATTAAGGTAGTATTCTCTCAACATTTTACATTTCGTTCCATTTTTGATTTGACGTTCTGTAAATTTCTTTAGGCTCTCTTATTGCGGTCTGCCACCTACTATTAAGTATGTACCCTGAACATCATATTACTGTTGTTTAAATTTAAGGAAGTATATGTGTATGTAATTTCTGGCTTGTTATCTTTTTCTCCTTTGCAATACCTAATTTGTGAGGCTAAGCCTTTTTTATCTGAGTGAAAGGGGCTGCCGACCCAGCTTCCGGCCTTCCATCACAAGTATATACCCCACGGAATGGCTTATTCCTTCAATTTATTCATATTTAATAAGTTTCTCATGTTTAAATAGTAAGTGAACTAACTGCTCTAACTGATGATTATGTTATGGCATTCTCTACATAAGATGGAGCTTCAATGCTCTGAAACTCAACTATTTGGTCTAGAACATTGACTTTTCAGACAAGATTAGAAGTGTAGAAATTATCTGGATAATTTAGAAGATTCCACTTTCTGGAAAGATCCGCAGTAAAGATTTTCTGGAAGGATTGATTGTATTAGGATCCAACTTAGATCCCTCGAGTTGTCTTCAGGAAAGGTTTTCTTTCAACGACCTACTCTTCCGATGAGTTTTAACCCCCAAAAAGAGTGACATGATCTGAAACAGCTTAGATCTTTGAGTTTCCCTTTGCAGCTTTAGGAAGCTTTGCTTTTGAATCTCCAAGTCTGTATCTTGGTATAGAGGTGAGCTCCTCCATCGTCGTAATTTCATGCGACATTTAGTTGTTTTCTCATCCACCTCTCTACTTCCAATGAGAATGTAGGAGCAGAAAGAGTCTTTGTTGCAAGTGTTTTCTCAATATTTTCGTGTGTGTGGGAGGGAGGGAGGGACTTCACACGTTCACTTTTAAATTGGGTTATGGCAATAATTAAACACCAATCTTACTCAATACAGTGTGAAGAGAGATACTTACCACTCTTTTTAATAAATAAAGAGATACTTACCAAAAAATGGTTTGAGAAAAGATTCTGATTCACTTACCTCAGTACTCGTGCATAAAATTTACCCAAATTGGAAGTCATCCACTAGATGCATAATTTGGTGTATGAGATAATTTATGCCATATATTGTTTCTCTGGTTACTATATGTTATAACTGGAAGGACTTCATTGATGGGGCATTGTCATATTATGGCACTTGGAGACGATTACAGATTTATGTTTATGCGACATGTTTATATCACACACAAAATGTTCAAATACTTAAGTACCAACAAGTGCTCCATAAATATTAAGTTGGAGTTAACATTTTTATGTCACGAATCGGCTGTCATCCACTACAATGTTTCAACTGAATTGCTGTTTTTGCTTCCGTTAGGCAAGAGAGATTGAAGAACTGCAGCAGAGAGTAGTGGAACTGGTTGAAGTGAAGGAGCAACTGGAACTCCGGAACCACAAATTGGCTGAAGAGAGTACATATGCCAAAGGGCTAGCATCTGCAGCAGCGGTTGAATTAAAGGCACTTTCTGAAGAAGTTGCAAAGCTCATGAATCATAATGAGAAATTAGCTGCTGAGCTAGCCGCCCAGAAGAGTTCCCCTACCCAGCGTAAACCAATTGTTGCCACGCGAAATGGAAGAAGAGATGCTCATCCGAGACGAAATGAGCAAAGCGTGTTGACTGCAGATATGAAAAGAGAACTGGCTATGAGCCGTGAAAGGGAGCATTCATATGAAGCTGCTCTTGCGGAAAGGGATCAGAAAGAGGCTGAATTACAGAGTAAGGTTGAAGAATCCAAACAAAGAGAAGCCTATCTTGAAAACGAACTGGCAAATATGTGGGTTCTCGTGGCAAAACTGAAGAAGTCTCAGGGAGTTGATTCTGATCTTTCTGAATCAACCAGATCAGAAAGCCAGAGAATTGATGGTTTTGAGGTTTGGGATAGTCTTGTGCAGTCTAGAGGACTTCAGTAAGGGAAGTTTGTAATAGAAGCAAGAGTGAGTTGTGTGCTTGTATGATGGTTTAGTGGGATTGTTGCAGATTAGGAGGGGCGTTCTCTGTCCATTCTATTTCCCCCCTTATGCTACTGTAGATAAATCAGTCGTGAGGGGCTTTCTGAATTGTACCTTGCACGTTGAACTTACTGCTTTTGTACAGAGGTTGATGTTTACAATTTTTGTAGCTGTAATGTTGATGATAGGGATGTATTTTGCACTCACTAATTCTGGGAAATTGGCAAATTGGTTCGCTCCTATGCACGTTGCATTTGAGCAATGAGAAAATTTTGCCGCTTACTATGTCGTAGATAGAAATGTATTTGAACATATACCTTATTTTGAGAACTCATTTAATTGACACTTGTAATATTTCAATGTGATAAATGCATAAACTTAAGCCAGTTACTACTGCATTCACGACCTAGCTGGTCTACTAGCATTATTTGGTCAAAGACTTGTTTGGATGCAGACTTTGTTGTACTCACAGTGAATTTTTTCAATTTTTTGTTTTTGTTTGGTGGTCTCATCTTATCTGAGAGTTATTCGATTCCCAAGTCGTAGAAATAGATACATCACGGTGAAACGAGGGCTTTCTCCTCTCCTCTTTCCCTAATTTATTTTGTATCTCACTGTCTTTGAGCCACATAAGTTTTGGCATAACGTTCTCTTTTCATATCACTTTTGCCTATTATATTTAATATTTTCTCCTATTACTACTTATAAGACACAAGTTGACTTAGTAACATGAGCGTCGTGCACTTGTGACTTGCTCGAAATTCTGGCTCTTACAGATTGAGAAGGAGAAACTGTCATCCTAGTCAATCCAATTGGGATGCTTTGGACCTGACATGTCACGTTGGAAAGACTAAAGAGCAACATGAAGCTCAGACTTAAAGAGTGTAAGTTAGCCTGGACAATGATCTTTTAGTATTTCATAGGGGATCTTGGTCATATTTTAATAGTTCTTGTATTAACCGGTTTGGAATTAGGCGTGAGCTGGTTCCTCGAATTGCATTCAAGCACAATCTGGAAACAATAGAAGGTTAACTTCAACCTTAAACCCAGCTATACTAGGTCTCGTTTTATCAGTTGTTGCCTTATCCACATGTAAAGGCTTTCCAACCGTCAATGCCCGAGAAAATAACACTTCACGAGCAAACATATATGGTGGCAGACTTGAAAAAGAAATCCATGGTAATGCCAACGTTGAATCTTGAATTGATGAAGTTTATCCAAACCTTTCTCCTTCACAGTGATGGACACCACAGTTCTAGAATACATGAAGCCTTCTGGTAATGAGAATCACACCAAAACATGATGTGAATCAATTAACCCTAGATTGCATTCACCCTTAATAAGAAACTGCTGCGGAAAAGCTTTCCTAAGATCCATCATATCAGGTCTTAAGCTTCAATGATGCCCGAGAGACTGATTCAAATCATATTTGAAACAGTATCTACTCCCTCTGTTTCAATTAATGTGTCTTACTTTCATTTTTAGTCAGTTTCAAAAAGAATGTCTCTTTCTATATTTAGTAATTCTTTAACTCCAACGTTCCACGTGGCATAATTAAGACCACAGGATTCAAGGGCATTTTAGTAAATTGCACATCTTAGTTGAAGACCACAAGATTAAAGGAAATTTTAGTAAATTATACATCTTAGTTTAAGACCACAAGATTTCTAAGTCTTCCTTACTTTTCTTAAACTCCGTGCCTAGTCAACCTAACACGTATAAAATAAAACGGAGGGCAGTATAGTATATAGTCCTGCCTTTCGGTATCCAAACCTTTACTTGGAGCTCTATCTATCCTTTCATTCATTGAAATCTTATCGAGCTGTAGTTTCCTAGTGATTCCTCAGTTTAAGACAATCTGGAATCACATTAAACCTCTAGGAAACAACAGCTACATAAGAATCTATCAAAAAAAAAGATAGAGCTCCATGCCTTTTGATCCAAGAGTTTGTTTGCGACACTATCACAATGTATATAGTAACACATTAGCAATAATGTAAAGAGTGAGAAATCCCCTAGGTGTTAGCCGTCTGTCGCATGAACTCTGGGAGATCTAATGGACGAATTGACAGGTTGCAGTATTTGGGACAATTGCTAACAATTTAATCATTTACTTGTAAAGAACATAACGTCAAAGCCACATGGTAAATGAGCTGATGGGAAGATATTGAGGTTAAACTAAAAGAGCTCAAGAAAGGAACAACAGGCAAAGAAATGAGAAAAGGAGCAAAAAGAGGTAAAGTTTCATAAATAGCCATTCATTAACTAAACTAGCAACTGAAAGTAGATAAATCATCCGATCTCTTTATACTTCACTTTTGATGAGTTCAAATTTCTCTATGCTCCTCTTCAGCCTAAATGAATTTGCAGTTGTGAAAACTAGAAAACAGAAGGCACAGATATCCAATTTAAGCAAGTCGATGAAGCCAATCATTCTAAGCATATCAAACACAAACATAAAAACTACAAATTCCGCATAATTCAGTTACAACTCGAGTTAATTAAGTATCTTATTATAACTTCAAATTGAAAAACACAATCAGGATAGCAACAGCTAATCTTATAGCTAAAGAATTATAATTCCGAACTAAAAAAATAAAAAGTACCCAAAGTAGAAAGATCCATCGATTAATTGGTTTTTGGATCAGGCAAGGGGAAGAGGCCAGCACCAGCAGCTCCACGTGGCGGCGAGAATCCCAAGAATTTCTGAAGATTAGTCCTAATACTCATCGAACAAAGCAAGTACAAAAACGCCATCGAACAATCCGTCATATCATTCCCGGACAACCCTCTGTGACTCATCTTCTGAATAATTCTGAAGGGCACAAACGGCAATTTCGCAACAACTTTACCCTCGAAGAGACTGTTGAGAAACGCAAAAACCATAAAAAGCACAATGGCTACAACGAACCCAGATTTGAATTTGAAAAGGGAAAGATCCCGGCTTGAATCTTTAAGTGAAGTTTCGAATCTGTCGATTTTCTTGGATTTGTTGGGCTTTTTGGATTCGAGGGTTTTCATGGTTTCGAGCTTTTTGGAAGCTTTGTCGATGTTGGATTTGAGGGAATTGTAGGAAGTGGTGCGGTAGATGAGAACCCATGAGATTGCTTCGCAGATTACGGCTGTGCAAATTGAGATTCCTACGATTGTTAAGCCGTCGGAGTATTTGAGATTGGAGAAGAGAGTTGACGCCATTTTTATTGAGAGAGAAAATTAGAGATGATATGTATTTGTGGGTGATCTGAGAACTACTGGAGAAGCACATTCTTTTTATTAGTTGAGAAATTATACTACTATTTGAAATAGACAATTATTGTACTAGTATTACTTTTTGTATCTGGACGTGGAAAAATACTTGTTAGGGAGAGAATTTGTTCTAATGCACGTACCAGACCCCGAATACGAAAAATATTAGGAGTAATTTGATTTATGTGGTACGTATTGTTAGTTAAAAAATACAATATTGAATTACCATGCAAAGATGTGGTAGGATAGACCAGCTTACTCCATTTCGAAATTAGTGGGGATGACTAGTTTTTGGTATTGATAATTGGAAAATAATAGCTTTTAAAAAGTAGTAACTAAAAATACTCACTATCTAATGCGGATAAAATTTAGATAAGAATATTCTTAGCTAAAATATGAAAAAATTTAATATTTGAAATTTTTACATATAAAATTCTAATATAATATATTGGAGTTTAACTCTCTCTTTTGAAGGGCATTCACCAAATACATAGAGCCATAGACCATTATAAAAGCCATCGTACTAGTAATTCCCTTTCATTATGTTGGGTTTTATATAATAATAGGTGTGAATAGAAAATAGAGGGAAAAGATTTGTGCTTATATAGAAGCACATCTTCTAGCTCTTAAAAAGTTGAGAAGAAGTGGTGCTTCGTGCCGTCGCCGTCGATCGCTCGGCTTCGAATTTGGTCAATTGATAATTGTTTGGACCAAATTTATTTTCCGTTTTCCGTTATTTATTTTGCAGATAATTTCCTAACGCCTAACGGTTGTTTTTGTATTTAAATTCGCGACCAAATAGAAAAGTGTTTTGCCGAAACAGTATCTCATGTGGACATGTACTTTCACACCTATTCAACCCTGACTGTTTGGCTATAAATCCAAAGGTTTGGTCTCACTTTCAGACCACCGAAATTTGCATATTCTCCCTTCTTTCTTCTACATTTCTGCATTGTTTTCCAAAAGTAAAAACATAAGCATCAGTGTAGTTCATTGACGTTTGTTGAGTTCGACGAAGTCCTATAATTTTCATTGTAGGTATTACAGAATAGTTGTTCCGTTCTATCCTGGAAGGAATTAACCCAACAACCTTGGGCAACAGTGAGGGGATTAAATTCCTTAAGGAAACACAATTTTCTGTTGGGCTCGGAACGTTGTTCATCTAATTCTCTTTCTATCTTTTGTTTCTGATTTCGTTTTATTTTGCAGAAATTATATTTTCGAATACAAATACTAACAAGCTTAAGGAATTTAGTTTTTTTTATATTCTGTATTCATCTTACTTTCTGCTTTGGGAGACTAAAATCCTAGTGATTTTCTACTTATGTTTTGGAGATTAAAATCTTCGGATTTTCTACTCCAGTTTGAGATTAAAGTCTTTGTGGCTTTCTACTCAATCCGAGATTAAAATCCTAGTGATTTTCTACTCGGTTGTTTGTATTCGATTTGAAGATATAAAAACTTCACCGACTTATTAATTATGGTTGTGTCAATTTCTTTTACAGAAAAGTGACAACAAGTATAGAACAATATAATGGTTCTATTGGGACTACTAATGCTGCAATGGCTGTGTGTTGAAGTCGCACAACGCCTGCACCTGCGATGGCACCGGGAGAAAAGCCCGAAATTTTTCAGCGTGGACTTCAAGCGCTGGAAGCAGAAAACGTTCTTCTACCTGACCACACTCAATTTGCAGCGCTTTATCAGCCAGGACATTTCAGTCTTAGGGAAAGAAACTCCCAAAAATGAATGATCCGTGGTCACAGAAGTGTGGAAGCATTCTGATTTCTTATGCAAAAATTATATTTTAAGTTGCTTGGAAGACGGCTTGTACAATGTTTATAGCGTCATGAAAATATCAAGAGAGTTGTGGAATGCTTTTGAAAAGAAGTACAAGACTGAAAATGCTGGACTTAAGAAGTTTGTGGCCACCAAATTTTTGGATTTCAAAATGATTGACGACAAATCTATCATAACGCAAGTCCAAGAATTGCAAGTAATTGTTCATGAACTCCTTGCTGAACGTATAAACCGAGTCAATATTTTTATTCAAGATATTGACTATTTTAATAATTATAAATTTATGATTGAAGGTATGGTCATAAATGAAGCGTTTTAAGTTGCAACATTTATTGAAAAGCTGCCTCCGCTGAGGAAGGACTTTAAGAATTACTTGAAACATAAGCGCAAGGAAATGACGCTTGAAGACCTTATTGTTCATCTACGGATTGAAGAGGACAACAAGGCTGCTGAAAAGAAGTATTGTGATAACTCAATAATAATGGGAACAAATATTATTGAGGAAGCATCTACAAGCAACAGAAAGAGAAAGAAGCTATCTGGTCCAAAGAATTACTCGAGCAAGAAGAGGCTGGATACAAAGCTGTGGACTGTCGTGCACCTAAGAAGGACAAGAAGAAGAATCAAGCAAACATGGTTGAAAAAAATAATGAAATTGAGGACTTATGTGCCATGCTATCTGAATGCAGCTTGGTAGGAAATCCCAAGGAGTGGTGGATTGATTCTAGAACCACTCGCTATGTTTGTACTAACAAAGAATTATTTGCCTCTTATGTTTCCGCAGGACCCGACGAGACTATCTTTATGGGAAACTCCACAGCAGCAAAAATTGAAGGAGTTGAAAAGATAGCTTTGAAGATAACTTTGGGCAAAGTTGTGACTCTAAACAATGTTCTCCATGTTCCTGAAATTCGCAAGAATTTGGTCTCTGCTGGACTTCTTATCAAGAATGGATTTAAGTGTGTGTTTGTTTCTGAAAAAGTTGTAATAAATAAGAATGATGTGTATGTAGAAAAAGGATATCTAACTGAGTGCCTTTCAAGTTGAATGTAATAACTATTGATATCAATAAAGTTCAAACTTCTTCTTACTTACTTGAGTCAAATAATTTATGGCATGCACGTTTAGGTCACGTCAATTTCAAAACTATACGAAAATTGATTAACTTGGAAGTATTGCCTAAATTTGAATGTGATAATTTGAAATGTCAAATATGTGTGGAATCTAAGTATGTTAAACATCCTTGTAAGTCGGTTGAAAGGAATTAAATCCTTTAGACTTAATTCACAAGATATTTGTGACATGAAGTCAATACCATCTCGCGGTGGGAAAAAGTATTTCATAATTTTATTAACGACAATACTAGATATTGTTATATTTACTTACTTAATAGTAAAAATAAAGCAATTGAGGCATTCAAGCAATACAAAAAATGAAGTTGAAACGCAACTAAACAAAAATATCAAAATACTAAGAAGTGATAAGGGTGGTGAATATGAATCTCCTTTTGAAAAAATATGTTTGAAATATGGCATTATTCACCAAACAACTACCCCTTACTCACCGCAATCTAATGAAATTGCGGAAAGAAATAATAGAACGATAAAGGAGATGATGAAGAACTTGGGGAGGGGGAGGGAAGCTATTCTTACAGCCAATCAAATACTCAACCGAGTTCCCCATAGCAAAACACAATCTATTCCATATGAAAAATGGAAAGGTAGGAAACCCAACTTAAAATATTTTAAAGTGTGGGGGTATTTAGCTAAAGTGCAAGTTTCTAAACCCAAAAAAGTGAAGATTGGATCGAAAACGGTTGATTGCATTTTCATAGGAAATGCAAGAAATAGTAAGGCATATCGTTTTCTGGTTCATAAATTAGAAAATCCCGACATTTATATTGACATGATAATCGAATCCGATAATACTGAATTCTTTGAGAATATTTATCCATATAAAAATGAATGTGAGTCGTCTAGTGAAAAATCTAACCTACCTCGAGAAGAAGCAAAGGAAAGCACGTTTAATGAGGAAAATTCAAGACGTAGTAAACGTCAAAGGACAACTACTTCCTTTGGACCCGACTTTCTGACATTTTTGTTGGAAAATGAGCCTCAAACGTTTAAAGAAGCAATATTTTCCTCGGAAACACAATATTGGAAAGAGGTAATCAATAGTGAGATAGAATCCATATTAAGTAATCATACTTGGAAATTAGTTGCACTTCCTCCAGGAAATAAACCTTTGGGTTCTAAGTGGATTTTCAAAAGGAAAATGAAAGCTGGTGGTACTATTGATAAATATAAGGTAAGATTAGTTGTCAAAGGGTTTAGACAACGAGAATGTCTTGATTATTATGATACATACTTACCGGTAACGAGGATTACATCTATTTGGGTGTTAATAGCGTTAGCCTTCGTGTATGGTCTTGAAATCTATCAGATGGATGTGAAGACAACTTTCTTAAATGGAGATTTGGAGAAAGAAATTTATATAGAACAACCTGAAGGGTTCATGGTTCTCAGAAAATAAAAGAAGGTGTGTTGACTTGTTAAATCACTTTACATATTGAAATAAACACCCAAACAATGGCATGCGAAAACCAAACAATGTTGGCAAATGGATTTAAGATTAATGAGGGTAATAAATGTGCCTACATTAAAAACACTCCAAATCATATAGTCATTGTATATTTTTATGTTGATGATATGTTAATATGAGCAAAGACATTGCGGATATAAATGCTACTAAGCGTATGCTTGCTAGTAAGTTTGATATGAAAGACTTAGGAGTTACTGATTTAATTCTAGGAATTAAAATCCATAGGACCCTAAAATACTAGCATTATCTCAATCTCATTACGCTAAAATGGTACTTGAAAAATTCAAGTATTTGGATTTCAAAGTTGCAAAGACCCCGATTGATGTAAATGTGGCTCTTACAAAGAATCTAGGTCAAAGCAAATCTCAATTGGATTATGCTCGAGTGTTGGGAAGTTTAATGTATATCATAAATTGTACATGACCTGATATAGCTTGTACAGTAAGTAAACTGAATCGTTACATAAGTAGTCCCGACCAAACTCATTCAATGGAAATAAAACGAGTTTTGGGGTATCTAAAACATACCCAAGATAATGCTTTGCATTATAGTAAGTATCCTACGGTAATTGAAGGATATAGTGATGCAAATTGGATCATTGGATCATCAGAAATAAAGTCCATAAGTGGATATGTTTTTACAATTGGCGGAGGAGCAGTTTCTTGGAAATAATCCAAACAAACATGCATTGCTCGCTTTACAATGGAGTTTGAGTTTATAGCTTTAGATAAAGCTGGAGAAGAAGCCTAATATCTCTGGAATTTCTTGGAAGATATTTCGTTTTGGCCCAAATCCGTAGCTCTTATATGTAGGCATTGCTATGGTCAAACGGCAATAGGAAGAGCTGTAAGCGTTATGTATAACGACAAATCTCGCCACATACGACGAAGACATAATATCGTTAACAACTACTCCTTAGTGAAATTATCACAATTGACTACGTAAAGTCAAAAGATAATGTGTCAGATCCACTTATAAAAGGCCTAAATAGAGAGGCGACTAATAAATCATCGAAGGGATGAGACTATGGCCGATGACAAGTCGCTGTGGCGGTAACTCTACCTAGAAGACTAGAGATCCCAAGATCTAGGTTCAAGGAGATCAAATAAAGTCATTAGTGACGGTTCAACATTGTCAAAAAAAATATTGGTCTATTCTCGTGATGAGACAATGTTCAGTACCAAGGATAAAACGTTAAGGCTTCTTAATGGTTTCTAAGTTTGATACGGAGTATGTCAAATAGTGTATCTATGGGATAACACGTTTAGGAATCACCTATATAAGTGTGAAGTGTAAGCCGCTTCAAGGAGAATTCTGTAAGGCCAGTTCTCTACGCACTTATGAATCAAGCAGTGTTCATGGCTGAAACGAACACAACAATGAGAACCAAATGCGGTTAAAAGGTTGATTGTGTGACTTATGGCTATATAGGTACACACCAAAGTTTGACGGTTCAAAGATATCAAATCTACCAATTAACCGAGTATATCCGACATAAGTTCACTATAGAAAGTTCAAAGGGGAACTTACTTATCAAGATGCAATTAATCCATACTTGTAAATCACACAGTTTTTCATGCATGCATATTTTCAGATAGCCATCCCCCATTCATATGGGGGATTGTTGGGTTTTATATAATAAGATATGTGAATGAAAAATGGATGAAAAAGATTTAGAGGAAACGAAAAGTTTGAAGTTGTTTCCTTTACTAATGCACTTTGACCCTAATTGGAAAAAAGAAAGAAAATCTTTGTGCTTATATAGAGAAGCACATCTTCTAGCTCTTAAAGAGTTGAGAAGAAGTGGTGCCTCGCGCCGTCATCGTCGCTCGCTCGGTTCAACTTCGGCTTCGGATTTGGATTCGGATTCGGATTCGGATTTGGTCAATTGATATGATTGATTGATAATTGTTTGGACCAAATTTATTTCCCATTTTACGTTATTTATTTTTCTTTTTCCTGATATTTTTGTACAGATTTTATTTCGCAGATAATTTCCTAATGCCTAACGGTCATTTTTTAATATAAAATTCGCGACCAAATAGAAAAGTTTTCTGCCGAAACAGTACCTCATGTGAACAGGTACTTTCGCACCTATTCAACCCAAATTGTTTGGCTATAAATTCAGAGTTTTGGTCTCAGTTTCTGACTACCGAAATTTACATATTCTCCCCTCTCTCTTCTGCATTTCTGCATTGTTTTACAAAAGCAAAAACATAAGCATCAATGTGGTTTACTACCGTTTGTTGAGTTCGGCAAAATTCTGTAATTTCTATTGCCGGTATTACAGAATAGTTGTTCCATTCTATCATGGGAAGAATTAATCCAACAACCTTGGGCAATAATGAAGGGATTAAATTCTTTAAGGAAATGCAGTTTTCGGTTGGGCTCGGAACGTTATTCATCTGATTCCACATTCGTCTTTTTCTTTTTGGTTTTGTTTTATTTTGCAGAAGTTATATTTTTGAATACAGATACTAACACATTACCCACATCGATCGAGAGGAGACAAATAGCTAAAAAGCTAATAAAACTCACAAGTTTCCTCTTTGTCGCAACTGCAAAGTTCCTTTTAATGGAAGAACCCCGATACAATCTTCGATTCTTCTTGCTCCTTACTACTTTTTCCTTTTTCCTTTTTTTTTGAAAAAAATATTGCTTTCGATTACAAATTGTGATATATAATTTATTAAGTTGATGTGCTAATTATATAATTGTATTCAGTAAGGAAAATTCCTACTGACATACTATTTCTTTAGTTTATAGTTTCAATATCGTTTTGGGTTTGATTTTTGATAAAGATGAATATGAAGATGGACCTATGAGAAATTGTGGCTTCTAGATTTATGTGTTCAAGTGCTAATTATAGGATTAATAATCACCAGTTATAGGTAAAGTTTCACTTATATTGGGTTTGAATCTCTAGCACATTATGCTGATTTAATTTTGGAGAAGCTTAAACTCCTGTACATTGTGTTGCGGCTCGAAGAAAATAGGAAGATGGAGAACTAGATCTATGCATTATTTTAAGTTGGGGGTATTTTTGTTCGAATTTTATTTTCGCATAAAAATGGATAAATTTCAATGAGTTGTGAAACTGTGACTCTAGTGATTCGGGCGATCGTTTTGTATATTTGAGCCTCGTTCCCCTATTTGATGCTTCCCGTATCTGTGTTTGTGATTATGTGACTTGCGATGGTGGTTGATTTGACTTTAGTAAATTTTGAGAATGAATTGAGACACTTGGGCTCATTTTAGAAGCTTAAGTTGTAAGAGTTGACCAAGGTTTTACTTTTATGTAAAACAACGACGGATTGGTGCTTTGATAGTTCCAATAGATTTGTATGGTAATTTTTGACATAGGCATATATTTAGAATAGGATTTGGGGGTTCATATGGTGTTTTGGCTCTATTTGCCAAAAGTTGGCAATTTGTAGGATTGATGA